CCATTAGCTTTTAATAGTGCTTTTTATTAATTTCACCTTTCACTTTCCTGGTGATTAACTTTTTAAATGACATTATAAATAGCTTATGAAATTAAAACTTAGTTTTTTGAGGACTTAAAGATGTTAACCTTTAAGGGGTTAATATTGTTCATATTAAAGAGAATTTGGTTTTAAACTTTTTGAAACCTTTCTCTGAAGTACTTTTCTTAAGCCGAGGAATGTTGTGGTGGTGGTGGTGAATAAATTATTCCAAGCTATATGCTTTTCTTTGTTTCCCCCATTTATGTAATTTACCAGACAGAAATTCTTTTCTCTTACCATTGCTCGTAGATTATAGGCAAGCTGAGAATGATATGTCAAAGTACTTCTTATGTTATCTTGGCTTTATAAAGGCAGTTCTTGGAAATTGAGTTTTTTGGTGGGGATAATAGGTAACACACATTCAGCATTTGCTAAATAACTTTACTATGTTTGATTTTTTTCAGAAAATATATTGGTTTGACTCGTGAAAATGCATTCTGTAACACTTGAAGCTTTATAGCTTTAATGCCTTCACTCTCCACCTTTCTTTTAACAATTGTCTTTTGAAAAATTGCCATAGGGGCTGGCCCGTGGCTCACTCGGGAGAGTGCGGTGCTGACAACACCAAGGCCACAGGTTCAGATCCTATATAGGGATGGCTGGTTCGCTCACTGGCTGAGCGTGGTGCTGACAACACCAAGCCAAGGGTTAAGACCGCATTACTGGTCATCTTTTATAAAGAAAAAAAAAAAAAAAAAGAAAAATTTCTGTTATAGGAAGGGGTCAAAAATAATACATATTCACCTAGTACTTTTAACTTGGAATTTTACAGAGATTCTACATTGCTATAACTTGCTTTTGGCTTAGGATGGCTGGTTCGCTCACTGGCTGAGCGTGGTGCTGACAACACCAAGCCAAGGGTTAAGACCGCATTACTGGTCATCTTTTAAAAAGAAAAAAAAAAAAAAAAAAGAAAAATTTCTGTTATAGGAAGTGGTCAAAAATAATACATATTCACCTAGTACTTTTAACTTGGAATTTTACAGAGATTCTACATTGCTATAACTTGCTTTTGGCTTAGAGAGTTGAGGCAGGGGGATATTAAGTTGCTAGTAGAGATTTTGATTACAAATATAAGGCATTTCTATGCTGAAGACGTGGTTAAGTTGCAGTGGGATTTATCTTCCATGTTATTTTTTTAAAATTAAAAAATGTTGGAAGGCGGTGTTTTTTGCAGTTTACTTAAATGAAGAGGCAACATTGAGATCTGTTGTTGTATACTTGCATGAGTATATAAGTATATATATAAGTAATTTATATAAGTATATATATAAGTATATATATATAAGTAATTTATATAAGTAATTCAGAATATTAGAGTTAATTTAAAAATGCTGTTAAAACAGCTGTAGTATGTAACAGCTGTAGTATGTACTGTTAAATTGTCCATTGTATCTTTTTGTTTAAACAGAAAGAGCCATGTCCTTTTATTGTGCATTTGATCACCAAACCTACCCCTCTTTTTAATAACAATTTATTCTTACTCATGTCCCTTCTACATTGTAATTGCCTACAGAGATCATTTCATTTCCAGAGATGCTGTTTCCTCTTTGTTTCTTATGTATCTTCTCTGCTTTAATTAACTGCTCATCTAGTGGATGAATCCAGGATTGAAACTTGGTATTCTTACTAAGCACAATTTAGCTAGTTCGATTGTCTCTCTTTTACTCTGCTAATCTGGTCTAGCTTTGCTATGAGTTTTAGGATTCTGTTCTGTGATGAATTCAAATCAGTTGTGAGTCCTCCTGAACCCTCTGAAAAAGATTAATTCTGAGGATGGCCCATAGGATAATGTCAGTCTCAAGGAAGGAGAATGTAGTCTACAGGATAGATCTTTAAAATGATCTGTACCAAAGATAAATTAGTTACTGAGATTACAGCATTCTAGAATATTGTAACTGGGGCCAGACCAAAACTGGGCCTTCCCCCTTTCTATGAGGGGAGAATACTAGACAGTAGTACTACCTTAGCACTTGCCTAAAATTATGTGTATTAGGCTGCTTGAGCTGCTATAACAAAATACTAGACTGGGTGGCTTAAACAACAGAAATTAATTTTTTCATAGTTCTGGAGTCTAGAAGTCCAGCATCCAGGTCTGACAGAGTTTGTTTTCTGTTGAGGGTTCTCTTCTTGGCTTGCGGATGGTCACCTTCTTGCTTTGTCCTCATGTGGCCTTTTCTCTGTTTTCCTGGGGGGCAGGGAGATCTCTTTTTACAAAGCCACTAATCGCTTCATAAGGGCTTACCCTCGTAACCTAATCTGACCCTCATTACCTCTCCAAAAGCTCCATCTCCAAATACCATGTTACTTCAATATCTGAATTTTAGGAGAACACAAACATTTAGTTTAGAACAGTATGTATTTTTTTCTCAGTGGGATTTGAGAGAATAACTTAGAGTTGTAAAATTATCTTTCCCCCAGAAATGTGTCGCTTTAAGGTCCAAAATGTAGTGAAATACTAAGTTACAAGATGGAAGATGTAAATATATTTCACTGAGTGTGGTGGATTTTTGTCTGTCCAAGTATAGGACTCGGTTATTGTTCCTTCCCTTGACATTTCCTCTTTAAATACCTAGAGTTCAGCTTTTTTTTTCTCGTGTTTCTGACATTTTGTTTTTTCCAGTAAACTTAACTATTCAAACTGAATGAAGCCTCCTTGTACTTTTGTAAGATTTTATGTCACATGTTTGTCATGTTTTATAGAGGGGAAAAAAGCTTGCTTTAATTTACTGACACAGACATACATTTTATTTCTTTAATAAGTATTTTGACATTTATTACTACCATTACATAGACATTTGGACATTATAAAACAAATGTAATTATGTGCATCAAGAATCTAGTTGAATCTTGTAATTACATGTTTATGACTCAATAAAATGTAACTTCTATAAATTAATTGTTGAAATAGTATCCCCATGCCACTATCTCAAGTAAAAGTTAAAACAAATATTTCAGCTGATATCCTAATAAGATTTTCACAATTTTAGATTATTTAAAATTTCACCATCCACAGAATGTTTAGAAGCTTCATTACACGTGTGATGTCAAATTAATGGCAAATTTTAAAGTAGCAAACTTTAGTAATATGAAGAGAAAAAATTACCACTTTCTAGATTCTGGTACTGTAAATGAATTTAGATTCTTTCACACTCCTGGGCATACCTGTATCACCAGTTTCTTATTCTACTTTTTATGTCTAAATTAAGACAACTAAGCTGTGTTTCAAGTTCTTGTTGCAAAGCTTTAAAACTTATTTTTTGTCCTTATAATGAATCCTTGATTATTGAATTTCTTAGACTGTCACCTCACAATTTTCTTTTTTTATTAAAGTTGGAAATATTTGTTCCTGAAGCTATATTAAATGAAAAATTTTCAGTTAAATTAAGACAATCTGTTTAGTGTATCTATTTTAGAAAAATCTCCCCAAAATTCCAGAAAGGTTTATCTTCATTTAAATTTAGTTTGAAATTTTCTATTTGTCATCTAATGCCTAATCTACATAAAAATCTCTGCAACAAGCAGTGGTTGAATTTCATTTTAAAATAATAAAAATATAGAATGCAGTATTATAACTCTGAGGGTGAAGGATTTGGATCCCTGTACCAGCCAGCCACCAAACAAATAAATAAATGAAACAAAACCTCCCTAAGGGTCAAGTGGAATGGAATGCAAATAACATATTTAGGTTTAGTTTTTTAATCTTGAAGATTTAATTTTTCTTCATAATAGTTCAAATATTCCTTTTAATATTTATAAATATATGAAAATATAAAACTTTGGTACAGGTATAATAGACTTTATACTTCTGTTATCCTTGAATAAAATGATTATATTTTCAAAGTACATTTCAGAATTATTAAATATTTTGAGGCAAGGATTTTTTTTTTAGAATCAAGAATAAATCACTGAGAAAAAGCAGAGGAGCTAAGGAGATACAGAAATATTTAAATGCAATATTCAGAAATAATCTCTGTTCCATGTGGTCTAGATTTATAATTGTAGTGGGTACACTTTTAGGCCAAGGTAATCTATATTTATATATTTATTCAACAAATATTTATTCAAAAATATTCAAAAATTGGGTGTTTCTAGAAATTTCCACTGAAATTTGGCTTATATTTATTCTTATCCATCCTTTAAGTAATATTTAAGTTTATATTGACAAAGGGGTGTGTGTGTGAGACATGGATGGTATGTTTGTTTTGGTGTCAAGTTTAAAAGTTCTAAAAATCATGTATTTTAAGAGATGAAAAATACATCAAAATTTTTATATTAAATGATGTTAAAGTAAATTTTTTTAGGATTTGCCTATGTCTCTGCTCTGATAACTGAGGATGTATCATAGAAATCCATACATTTTTGGTTTTAATATCTTTTTAGGATTACAGTGAGATTTATCCAAAGTGAGTGGTCAGATTGCGTGTGTGTGTGTATTTGTATTCTAAATGTTATAAAGTCTAGACAATGGTTCTGTCTTCTTGCTTTCTTCCTCTAGCTATTATAAAATATCTTTATTTTATTTGTTTTTGTACTAGTAAATTATTCCCTCTTAAATTGAAATTTGGGTGGACCAGAAAAAAATGTTTTTAGCTCATTTTGTGTTATAAATCAGTTTCAGACTACCTTGCAGTCACTTTCAGCATAGACATTATAAAAATAGATTTCTTGTATAGAATAAAGCCCAGCATCTCATTAGGTAGAGATTTTTATGTAGAGGAGGTTTCTTGAAATAGGCTTTCGCCTTATCTCTTTGCATCTTTCAGGCATTGAAAAGAGCACTTTGGTCTTTTAACTCAGTGGTACTTTATAATGCACTGTTCTTCCTATCACTGTAAAAAATTGATGCATGGGTAAAAATATCTTTTTTATATTGCAAATAAATTGAGCTTGTTATAGTCCCCTCTCTTCATTTTCAGGAAGAGGCAGAAATTCAGGCAGAACTTGAACGTTTGGAAAGAGTCAGAAATCTTCACATACGGGAGCTCAAAAGAATAAACAATGAAGATAATTCACAGTAAGTCATTGTATTTCACAGTTTCATTTGTTAAAAAGTTACTACCTCCATGGAGAGCATAAACACAGTATTTCTTTGTTGGGGCATCTCACCACACTTAGAAAAGATCCAGAGTACTTCACAGTGTTTGGAAGGCCTTGTATGATCTAGTCCCCAGTCATCTCCACCATCACGTCTCTCTCATCCACCCCTCACATGTCATAGATGTGCTGGCCTCCTCGGACTTGTGGAGCACATTCCCGTCAGGGCTTGCCATTTCCTTTGCCTGAAGTGTTCCTCCTCTAAATATCTGAGTGGCTTACTCATTTCATTCCACGTGTTCATTAGAGAGCTGTCCTTAGGCCACCCTCTCTAAAATAGCAGTCCCTGCCTCACCCTATTCCCTCTTTCAGGATCCTTACCTTGCTTTATTTTTTTCATAGTACTTTTCATAGTATGTATCACTATCTGGAATTATAAATTTAATTTTCAGTTTTTTTTTTTTCCTTTTTGTCTTTTTTACTGACCGGTAACGGGATCGCAACCCTCGGTGTTGCGCCCACACTGTGCTCAGCCAGTGAGCTGGAACCGGTCTCCACATGGGATCCGAACCCTCGGCGGGAGCGCTGCCACACTCCCAACAGCGCACTCTCCAGTGCGCCACCGGGCTGGCCCTAATTTTCAGTTTTTTATTCTCTCTCTCCTACCACTAGAATGTAAGCTTCATGAGAGCAAAGACTTAGTTTTGTTCTTGAAATATCCCCAGAGCCTAAATCAGTGTGTTCATGTGGTAGGCACTTAATAAATATTCGTTGACTGAATCCCAAAGTTAATGTTATAGTAGTGAAGGAGAAATTATTTCACCTAAAGGTATTTTAGTAAGTGATGTGTCAGCATTATGCAAGTATTTGGGAAAAAATGAAAAAAGAAGTAAAAGTTATAGTCTCTGTTCTTAATTCCTGGTTATCACAATGAGTACCATAGATAGAAAATGTTAAAGGAATTCAAAGAGAAAATATCCACGGGCTAGGGGGAGCTTCATGAAGGTGATAGAAATAAAAATTAAACAAGGCACTACTTGGAATTAATCAGTTTAAAAGCGAGGAAAGGTGTCTATTTACATTTTAAGACTAGTCATGTAATTTAAAGCTTCATCGCTTAGTATGAGTATCAGAATTGGAAGTGGCCAATTTCTGTTGTGAAATATGAGTATCTTGCTTAGAAGAAGGCCCATTCATGATGGTCTATGTATGTGTAATTTATCAATATACAGGTCATTTCTGAAATAATATAGTTATAGAATAACCTAAATTCTTTCAGATTAAAACTCTAATAAAGGGGCCAGCCCGGTGGCGCACTGCTACAGTGCACCGCTTGGGAGCGCAGCGGCGCTCCCGCCGAGGGTTCGGATCCCACATACAGACCAGCCGCTCACTGGCTGAGCGAGGTGCGGGCACAACACCGAGGGTTGCGATCCCGTTGCCGGTCCTGGTCCGGTACGGGCGCGACACTGAGGGTTGCGATCCGTTGCCGCTCACGAAGAAAAAAAAAAAAAAAAAACTCTAATAAAGCAGATGGGGCAAAACTAATTTAAAAAACTTTTCTGAAAATTATGTTCAAACTTTGTGGATATGATTTAGATCGATGAAAATAAATTGTTACAGTTTTACAGTATACTTTAAAACTAAGAAGAAATCTCTATAAGTTCATCAAGAAAAGCTTAAATTATTAAGTCTATATTTGATTTTGAGTAAAATAATAAGGCATAATTTGTAGAAGAAACTTTTTTGTGTGTCTTTTAATGTGCCTGAGTGTTTTATCCCCCACTCTTAAGGTTCAAAGATCATCCAACGTTAAATGAAAGATATTTATTACTTCATCTCCTTGGTAGAGGTGGCTTTAGCGAAGTGTATAAGGTAATGTAAATTTTATTCTGTTCTTCTCACTAATATAGCAAAGATATAGGAGTATGTGGTTAAGAAGTATTTGTCGTTTATTTATTGATGTTAGGACTCATTTTGTGTCCTGACTCTTATTACCAAAAAAAAAAAAGAGAGTTGGTTATCTCCAGAGTCTAAAGACTATCCTTGCACCTGCCCATTCTCTCTGATAATTGGTACCTAGTCACCATTAGCCAGTTTGATAAAAATAATAACTGTTTGAATCAAGATAGGCAGATAGCATAGTACCTTTATGGAAAGATTGTACCCTTTAATTTAACCATGTGTCTGAAGTCTTAATATATACTGAATTTACCCAAATTTCTACCTATTTTAAGGCCATCGTTTCTCAAATTCATATGTGTAACTGTAGACAGTTTTACTCACAGTGTTCACTATTTTATACCTTTTTAAACACCTTTTCATTTTATCTTTCAGCCCAACCTTTAATTGGAGTTCGTACAGTCTCTTTTATCATTCTGTATTCTCCCTTTAGAAGATTTTTATCCCCTATTATTCACTGAGTTCATCTATTTGATTCCACCCCCAGGTACATACAGTTGTCACTCACTATATGAGGGGGAATGGTTGTAGGACTCCCTGCAGATATCAAATCCTATGTGTGCTCAAGTCCTTTATATAAAATGGCATAGTACATACACATAGTACAGTCAACCAACTGTATATCCAGCCCACACCTTCCTTCTGAGCTGCACACCTGTTTGTGTACATGATTTAATTTATTCACATCATATGGATGCTTCATAGGCACTGCAAACTCATGTCAGAAATAGAAGTTATCATTTTCCTCTCCTTCAAAATCCCTGCTTCAGTATATGGTATTGCCATTCATCTGCCTGGTCCCTCAAGTCAAAACAAAAACCATCCTTTTCTCCTCCTTTTCTATAGTTCCCCTCCCCGAACATATTACAAGTCCCTTGTGTTTGCTGTTGTTAGTGTCATCAAGCTCTTCTAAGTCAGTGATGACCCTACTGTCTCTTAGTTCGAGGTTTCTTACTGAGAGTCTCCTAACTGACTGCTGTCTTTTGGGCATTTTCTCCAGTTCATTTTGTATTTTGCAGCTACAGTGACCTTTTTATAAGAGGCAATCTGATCATCTTCCCAGCTTGAAAGTCCCAGTAGCTTCCCATTTGCTCTTGGTTGGAATGAAGTCGTGTTAAAGGTCATATTCACACCTTAAACTTCAGTTTCTCTAGAAGGACCTCACCCTCTGCATCTCCTCAGATCATATTTGATCTGCCTTTTATAAACGCCTTGTGATACTTTGTGCTTCATTATGTATTAGTATAGCTAGGGATTAAGAGCTCTTATTCTGAAGTCTGACAAGTGGGTTTAAATCCTGACTGCTGTTTACTAAGTATGTAAACTTGAATATATTACTTAAACCTGTGCCTCATTTCTCCTGGGAGTAATAACAATGCCTACATTATAGGGTTGTTGTAATGATTAACAGGTATCATAGGTAAATCACATATAACATTGGTACTTAATAATCTTATCAGCTTACTTTTACTATTAGAAAATCCTCCCTAGTCAGTGAGATGAGAACTATGCCTTTCTGGTTTACTGAAGACAACCTAGTTTCTAGTTCTGACTCTGGGAAAAATTACAGAATTTGGATTCAGAGAATTTCACTTCTGAACTTTGTTCAACCAAAAACTGTTTGTTTTAACTTGGGAGAAGCAATAAGCATCATCGGCATCACCTTTTTCACTCATCAAGAGTAATGTTTGAGCTGTCTTCCGATTCCTATTTCTCTGATTCTAATGGTAGTTCATCCTCAAGCACTTAATGGTTGAAGTAGGCTTACCCAGGCCACAAGGTAGAAAAGAAGATCACAGTAGTTTTCCTTGGATCTAAAAATAGCTAACTTGGATCTAAAAAATCATGAAAAGCCAGCCAGCCACCAAAAAAAATTAAATGAAAAAAATAATAAAATAAAAATCACAAAAAGTTCAGTTAGCACAGGCTCAGCCTAAAAGTTGCTGAGCTTATGAGCCTGTCATGAGCTTTCATGACAGCCTTCTACCACTGCCCAATAATATTTCAACTGTATTTAGCTCCGTAGATAGGACTTTTTTTTAAAATCATAATTGATTATACATATTTTGGGGGTTCAACATTGACATATGTTTATCAAATCAATATTACTGGCATATATATTGTTACAAATCATACTTATTCTTTATGCCCCTTGTCCAGTCTCTCCCTATTGCCCTCTCCCTCCCCACTCCCACCTCTGATAACCCTAGATTTTTTCTGTTCTTCTGAAGGAGTAATGGTTACTCTGTTGGTTTGTTGCCTAGATGATCTGTCCAATGCTGAGAGGTGTGTTCAGGTGCCCTAGTATTATTGTAGAGCAGATGCTTCTTCTGTCACTCTGGAATGGGCTTTGTGGAGAGAGACATGCTCTTCTTTTCTTTGGTCTCTGCTGGTGACTCTCCTTGTATCAATACACTCCAATGGCTGGTGGACCATCTGCGTGGTAGTTGTGGCATATAGCCCCTTTTTTTTTTTTTTTTTTTTCCTTTTTGTCTTTTTCCGTGTCCGGCAACGGATCGCCACCCTCAGTGTCGCCCCCGCACTGCACCAGGACCAGCAACGGGATCGCAACCCTCGGTGTTGCTCCCGCGCCTCGCTCAGCCAGTGAGTGGGAACTGGTCTGTATGTGGGATCCGAACCCTCGGCGGGAGCGCTGCCGTGCTTCCCAAGCAGCGCACTATAGCAGTGCGCCACCGGGCCGGCCCACTTTTGCAGCAGCCATGGTTATTGTGGTGGCATGTGGTGGGCAACCCACACAGAGGTGATGTTTTTGGCATGCTCCTTGGTGCTGGTGGTTTGCCTGATTGTGGGGGAGAGGGTCTGGTTCCTGGAACTATACCTCAGGACCCTGGGCAGTCCCTGATGTACTGGTGACGTGCCTGGGCTGCAACTAATTTTTTGTCCTTCACTTACTTCTAAAATGGGGGAACTTCCTGTGGGGACCAGTACTTGAGCTGTGTGGATTAGCTAAATTGGTGCTTTGCTGCTGATTCCCTAGGGAAGGCTTTTTGTGCAGTTCAAGTTTTAATGGTTGACTTTATAGGTACTTCCAGCTTTCCGAGACCCAGTGCACCTGGGTTGTGTAGAAACTCTGATCTGTTCCTGAGTCTTTTCATCAAACTGCACCCCATGCAATTCTGTATTCCTGACCAGTCTCCTCTGAGTGGTCCTTCACTGATTGGGGTGCTGGTCAGCTGTCCTTGCTGTGCCCTATTGTTCCCCAGGTGAGCCCATCTCCCCCGACCACCTGCCCATGCTGCCAACACTTTTCATGGGATGGGCCATGCACCGCTCCCTTGTGATGACTCACTGGCCTCTTAAGTGGCTCCTTTTTTCAGTTGTTGTGGCTCTGTGCTCCTATGTGAGTTCACAGGAGTCCTGTTAGTGGTCTTGCTGGCCTGGAGGTCTCCAAAGCCCTCTTCCCCCCTGCCACCTCCAAGCAACTTCATCCAAAGGGCACAGCTGCAGCTTTTGCCAGGTCCTGCTCCTCTGTGCGCCCAGCAGCTCCAGCCTTAAAGTGACTGCGGCACAAAATGGTCGGAGTGGTTTTTTTTCTCTGATCATGGCTTCTCCCACCTTCATGCACTCTGTAGGTCTCTCCTCCTCTTCCCCTGAGCTCTAGTGGCCCCAGCTTGGCTGTTGTTGCTTTTTTATAGTTGTAAATTGGTTGATTTATGGGAGAGTGTGACACTGGGGACCATCTATTCTGCCTTCTTAACCGGAAGCCAAGATAAGACTTTCAAAGAAAAATCTTACGCAGGAGTTCGAAAATGCAGATTGGGTCCCAGTGACTTGAACTTTCTATGCTGACCTAAATACTAGTAACAGTTCTCTCCACCCTCTTCAAAGCTCTTTTCATGGTTGGCAGATCCATTGGGAAACAAAAAAAGCAAGTTGTAAGTCAAGAAATAATGACTTTTATCTTATACCAAGGTAAAGGATTTTGAATCAGTTGCTGAGTGATTTCTATAGTAGCCTTATGGAAACCCCTCTTACCTAATCTTGGGAGAAAGATGTATTTATAATTTGTTGTAATAAATATATACTCTAACTTTTTATTGCTAATATACTTAAAAGTTTTTCTTTGAATATCCTTTATTATGATTGCCTTTTACTTTTATCCCTTATTAAACACTTCATATGTTATATATCCTATTTAATCCTATTTAATTCTCTCAACAACCCCAACTTTATAGATAAGACTGAGGCTCAAAGAGGATGAGTATTAGCATAAAGTTACTCAGCTAATAAGTTCATCTGACTCCAAAGAGAATATTCTTAACTACTACATTGTACATTCTGACTGATCTCATGCTTTTATAATTTGTAACAAAGCAGGTACTTAACTGTACTGTTTTTTGCCTTCTGCTTATTTTTAGTTAAAATTGATGGGGGGAATCGGGACTGGGGAATCTTCTAATAAATATGTAAGCTTATAAGTCTTTTTTAAAGGGGTCACCTTTGTCTATAAATCACAGTAGAATCTAAATTATTAAATCTATCTTTAATGGTATTCAGTATTTTTAAAAAACATTTATAAATCATAGGAAGTCTTAAAATACTGATCATTCTGGGTTTTTTAATTTAAGAAATAGGCTGATGATTTGAACAAATTAAGTATAAATTATTTTTTTGAGACAACTGGGGAAAATTGAAGACAGGTTGGTTATTAGATGAGATTAGGAAATTATTGATGTAGTTAGGTGTGATAATGATATATGTGTTTTTTTGAAGTCATTATTATCTTGTAGAGATAAATACTGAAGAATTTACAGGTGAAATGATGTATTATCTGGGATTTGTTTTAAAAATACTCCAAGATAAGCAGGAAAAAAGCATGGAGATCAGGAAATAGGTGAAACAAGAATGGGCAAAATATTGATAATTCTTGAAACTGGATGATGGGTACATAAGGGTTTATTATACTACTCTATGTAGCTTTGTATAGATTTGAACTGTTTCTTTTCTTTCTTTTCCTTTTTTTTTTTTTTTTGGTGGCTGGCCAGTATGGGGTTTGAACAGCTTTGTAATAACTGTGTAGAATTTTTTTTCAACGATTGGAAAATTGTTAGGAACTTGTTATTTTTCAAAAAAAAAGTGAAAAGAGAAGGAAAAAACAGATTTAAAAAGGTTTGTTTTTTTTCAATCCACAAAACAGTATAGCCATTTGGTTTCCTGGGTGCTTACTGCTACTGCCAATATAGAGGAGCAGGTCCATATTAAAAACAAGTAATAGTTTTATTGTTTTATCTTGACTCAGTATATTGGCATTTATAAAAATCGAATGAAAATTTACATTAAAGTTTTCTCAAATTTACACTATGTAATTTGTATCTCGTTTCTGATAATGTCACTAAACTATATATAGTCTTAGAGATGATCACTAAAAATTGTGGTGTTTATTCTAATTCCATATTATTGCAAAAATTATCACTAAAAAAAAATCTCTTCAACTATTGAGTTAGTCTTTGTTCATAACTGTTTTTTTGCTTTGAATCCTAGGCTTTTGACCTTTATGAACAAAGGTATGCTGCTGTGAAGATCCATCAGCTTAATAAAAGCTGGAGAGATGAGAAAAAAGAAAATTACCACAAGTAAATATTAATACTTTATGGTTTTATAAGTTGAAAAATTTCTGAATGGTCATGGATAATTAATACAACTCTTTTCCCATAGACATGCCTGCAGAGAGTATAGAATACACAAAGAACTGGATCACCCCAGGATAGTTAAACTCTATGATTATTTCTCCTTGGATACAGATACGTAAGTGAATAAATATAAGGATTTAGTTTTTAAGAAAAGATATGTTTGCTTTTGCTTTCCCTATTCTGTGATGATGATAAAATGTTCTCCATTTCTCCTTGTGAATCTGAAACTACTGGGTAATATTTATGTCTAATTCTTTTTTTCTTCTCTGTTGTAGGTTTTGTACAGTGTTAGAATACTGTGAAGGCAATGACTTGGATTTCTATCTGAAGCAACACAAATTAATGTCAGAGAAAGAAGCTAGGTCTATTGTAATTCAGATTGTAAATGCACTAAGATATCTCAATGAGATCAAACCCCCTATTATACATTATGATCTTAAGCCAGGTAATTAATGAAATGTGTCTAATAATTTTTTTAAGTTCTGAAGGGTATAGTTTTTAAAAGTTATTCATTAAGTTATCTGAAAACATGCTTTTTGGTTTAGTTTTTAAAATTTCATTGGAATACTGGTAGAATCAAATTTACTAGTATTTTAAATATATTTTTACTTCCCAAAAGTTAAAGTAGTAAAGATAATGTTTTTTATATATGTGTCTTTAAAAGAATCTTGTATTTTATATTTAGGAAACATCCTTCTGGTAGATGGAACAGCATGTGGAGAAATCAAAATCACTGATTTTGGTCTGTCCAAGATTATGGATGATGATAGCTATGGTGTAGATGGAATGGATCTAACTTCCCAAGGGGCAGGCACTTATTGGTAAATATATTATTAAAAATATTAAAAGTATCTAGATTAGTACCCAGTGTCTGTCTGAGAATTAGTTTTTATTTTCATTTGAGACTACTATGGTGAAGATGCTGATTTTAAGCCTCTGTGTTGAGAGGGAGACTACTCCGAGAGGGTCAGTCCTTTTTTTCCTCATCTGTTCTCAACTGCAAATACCAGCAAACTGGAGAGAGAATGACTTGGCATTAGCAAGTGACTTCTGTACCTACTGGCCAGAAACTCCTAACATGGAGAATTCATGGATTTTCTTCTACAGTACTTGGGTGATGTTTATTGTGAATATAAATACTAATATAAATATGAGAGTACTTCAAAAAGTTCATGGAGCTCTCTCTGATCTCTGCCTCCATCATCTTGCAGTGTGAGACCCCTGGGTCACTGTTGCCACCACCTAATGGACTTTGGACTTCCCACCTCAGAAACTGTCTCTGCTTAACTTCTTGAGCATATGGAGTACAGTTATAACAACTGTTTAAAAGTCCTTGTCTGTGAAGGTCAAGATGGCGACGGGTCTGGAGCGCGGGTGCCAGAAGTCAGTGTGAGCCTGAGAAGTGTGCGCTGTGCTGCCAGAGTGCTATTTGCATTTCCAAGAGCAACAAAACAAGAATAAGTCTTTGATCAACTAATCTACAACTATAAAAAAGCAACTACAGATTCAAGGTTTAGGGCCGACATTAAAGAAGATTCCTGGGAGGGCCTGAGCCGTGCTGTGGGACCGAGTGAGCAGCCCGAGGCGGCGGCGGCTAGGACGGGGACGGCGGCAATGCGGAAACGGAGAGGGAGCCGCTTGGCCGGCCCAGCTCTGTGAGTGACCCCTAGCCTGGTCCTGCTTACGGGACAGACACCCATCCGGCTTCCGCCTGCCCCACTAGGCCAGTCACTGGCCCAGGGCTGCCTCCATTTTCTCGGGTCGGGGAGGAGCCGGCCGGCTCGGCCAGGCCTGCCCTCCTCACCCGGCTCGGCTCCTCACTGAGCCTTCCCACTTCCTTGCCCCGGCGCGGGGCCTCCGGGGGTCTGCGGACCAGCCTCACATCCCACTTCCCCCGCGGTTCTCTGGCAGGGCTTGTGGTGTGGGGAGCCCCCAGCCAGCGTCGGGAGGACAGGGAAGAATGGGCCAGGCCGATTGTCACTCCACCGTACCCTGGGCTTCGGCCCCCAGTAAATTTCCTGTTACCGGGAGGTAGATACCATCTCTGCGGCCATCAGTTCGGAAAAACGCCTAACCGATTTATGGTTAGGAAAAGTGTGATCGGAGCGCTCCCAAGCTCACTTGAACCTCCCGGAGAGCTGACTGCGGGCTGGCGCCGGAGTCGGTCCGCGCCAGGGGAAATCAAAAGAGGAACTGTGTGCTGCGGGTTCCTCCCCCGAGGAGCTCACGCTCCAGTGTGGGAGATAAGACAAGTACACAGATAACTTCAATACCAGGAGGAAGGTGATAAGTCCCGAGAAAGCCCTATACAGTTCTACAAAGGCACCCAGAGCGACAGTTCGTCTGCGCCTAGCAGAAACCTGAAAGTCTTCCTGGGCGAGGCAGTGCGGAGTAGGGGCTTGAAGGCCCGGCTGATAGACGAGGGTAGCAGAAGACATGTCCGATCCCAGTCTAGAGTGCACAGAGTGGTGAGGCATCCAGCTAGGGAGGCAGAGACTCGGCAGAAAACACACACTGCAGGCTGCCTCTGCGAGATCCAACAGCCCTGCCTAGTGCGCACAGATTGGGGAGATGTCCGGCTAGGGAGGTGGAGACTCGGCAGAAAACAGACACCCTGTGGGGCCACCAATGCGTGATCCAGCAGCCCAGCAGAGTCCAAGCTGACAAAAGTGGTGGCTCCCCGGAGAGGCCCAAGACCCAAGACAACCACACACATTAGACACTAGAGCCAACTGAGCAGTCACAGAGGTAGCCATACCAAATTGACAAACACAGCCACACCTTAGTTAGCCAATAGGGTCAAACCTGTGCACTGTGAAACCCCCTGCCAAAATGAATAAACATCAAAAAAAAGATACCAGAAATACAAAAAACCAAGAAAGTACACCACCAAAAGTTAATAAATCTCAAACTCTAGATCCTATAGAACAGGAAGCCCTTGAAATTAATGACAAGGAATTTCGAGTGATAATTCTAAAGAACCTGAATGAGACACAAGAAAACTCAGCTAGAAAGCATGATGAAATGAGGAAAAGTATACAGGGCATGAAAGAGGAAATGTACAAGGAAATCAATGCCCTGAAAAAAAATGTAGCAGAACTTGCCGAACTGAAGAAGTTATTCAGCGAAATAAAAAGCACAATGGAGAGTTTAACCAGCAGGATAGCGGAAGTTGAGAAGAGAACCTCTGAACTTGAAGATGGACTGATTGAAATAACACAAGCAGATAAGAAAAAAGAATCAAAGACATTGAAGAAAATCTGAGAGAGATATTAGACAACCTTAAGCACTCAAATATCTGAGTCATGGGTATTCCAGAAGAGGAGGAAAACGGAGAATGTATTGAAAACATACTCAACAAAATAGTGGCAGAAAACTTCCCAGGCATAGGAAAAATCACAGATCTTCAGATCCAGGAAGCTCAATGATCTCCAAACGTATTCAACCCAAAAAGGTCTTCTCCAAGACATGTTATAGTCAAATTGGCAAAACTCAAATACAAAGAGAGAATCTTAAAAGCTGCAAGAGAGAAGTGTCAAATCACCTATAAGGAGCCCCAGTCAGGCTAACATCAGACTTTTCATCACAAACCCTAAAAGCTAGAAAGGAATGGGATGATATATTCAAAATACTAAAAGACAAAGATTGCCAGCCAAGAATACTCTACCCTGCAAGGCTGTCCTTCCCAATTGAAGGGCAAATAGTATATTTTTCAGACAGACAAAAACTGCGGGAGTTCACCACCACACGACCACCCTTACAAGAAATTCTCAAAGGAGTACAGAGTTTGGTTCCTGAAAAATAACTACTATTGCCATAAAAACCCAAGTAAAACCAAAACCCACTAGTATATTAAAAATGACAATCATGAAAAGAAAACAAACAAAAACATTATCTACAACCTAAGGAACCAACAAACACAGAAAACAAACAGCAAAGCAGAAA